ATCCGTTCAACGCACAGTGGTGTAATGGATAGCAGCTCGGAATTGAGAAATCGGAGAGCCGAGTTCGAATTCCATTCGAATCCGTTACATTCACTTACGTGCTAATAACCTTGGAAAAGGTATGAATCCTCTCCTCCCGGATTCTATACCCTCTGATGGCAAATGGTCTACGCAGAAAGAAATGGCAACCTACAGCGGGAAAAATCTGCCTATCGAAAGATACATGATCGCCTACATGTGTATCACGCATGGCACATAACTGACTGACTCTCCAGCTGTTTCAATAGGGGGAAGTACTCACTTGTAAAATCCGATAAATCCCAAACTAAACAACTAACGTTCCAGCACCACCACGCAGATCCCGAAAATCCATCTGTCGTGATGTCGATGGGTGTTCTCTCAAAATGGCTCCCTATCTTAAACGTCTAACGGGACTCAACCTCCCCAGACCTCAAGTGGAACTCATATATCCGATCTATTGCTAAAGATGCTGGTAAAATGGCCGGTTCCTCGTCCCGCTTCTCGAAGTATCTGACCCCACCATGCTATACTTTAACTTTACAAGGGTCAGAACAGAGGAAAAATGGTGTATTACTGCCAACGTTGGGCTTGAGATGGCCATTCCTCACATGCCTATCTTGATAAAGTTTCCAAAGCGTCTACGCGGCCTTGGGGGTGATGAATTATTTTCCATCCTACAACTCCTTTCGCACAGACGAAACGATGCCAGCCTCTCCATCACATACTTCCATGGCATGTGTTCTGACGAACTACGTTCCTTAGCTCCACCAGCCCTGACCTTTACAACCGGGACCTTCTATGCCACGTATACAAGAGTGAATCATCCCCATTTCCTATGTATTCCATTACTAAGGAGCAAGTTCCATTTAGACAGCTTCTTCCCAAGATCTGCTGCTTTGTGGAACAGACTCTCAGCAAGATGTTTTTCTCAACTCAGTACAATCTTACTCTCTTTATGTTTAGGATTAAACGCTTTCTTTCTTGCGTAGCCCCATGAGCACTTTTTGTCCTTTCATATACTCATAAAACACTACACAAACTTGAGTGGCTTTTGGGCCTTGTATTGGATGAACATTATTATAAAAAAGATCTACCGCACATCTGCTTCCATAACAGGGAGAGAGATGTTGAACTCAGCAATCAAAAATCTGTCATAGTCAGTCTGGCATACATATGGATTACATTTGAAATATTCAAATGATGCGTGGCCCATGCGCTATAAGAACAGTATTCAAAAGCAGTGACAGGGAATACAAATAAGACACCAAGCGCCCCCTTAAAAATAAAAGAGAGAAACATCGAAAAGCTGTTGTTCTGAGAAAGCCTTGAAATCAGGCATAGCTGAGCTTATATGATGAGAAAAGTGTGAATGCCAACTCCTGTATAATGAAGTCCAAATAATAGAAAGAGAATAACACTAGAAGAAAAGATAACTGAATGAATCAGCGCACATTTTAGATATTGACAATCTCCTCAGTAGACCAAGTATAGACATAAATACCGTCTAGAAGTCTCTAATTAAGGGTACTCAAAAAAGGCCACATCCTTAATCATATACTTACAGAACCTTAGGTTTAGGAGCAGATAGTTCGCCTATCGTCTATTTACACTCCTTCCCAGTCTTTTGATCAGGAATAGAGGTTTATCCATTGTTTCCTGTTTAGGATTGGGTTTCCGGTTCCTTTCTATTTCTCTTTCACTCCCAGTAGCCCCTTACGACTTAGTGGTACTATCGTCTTGGTGAAATGATAAAGGAAACTTCTGAAAGCCGAAAGACTGAGTAGTGGATTCAAGTGTTGCTTAAAACATATCTTGTCCCCTTAGATTTATCACTTTAATCCCTATGTTTGGTAGTGATGAAAAGTCTCGTTCAGTGGAAGACGCCTACCTGAGACAAAAAGTTCAATAAAAGTGGCAGATTTTTTTTAATCACCCCAAGTAAGGCACTAAAGCCACTAAGACACAAGGGATTACAGGGTGTGTAGGAATTAGGAAGAGAAACATTAGTAATGAAGAGAAAGAGAAAAGAGTACTCAGGCGGACAATAGATAGAGATTGGCATTGCATTTAAATTCTTGCAGATTAATGTTGTCTGGAAAGCATGGAGCAGGACGGGGGTTCCACAAGCGAGAGGACCGAGAAAAGAAACTGATGAGATTTAGCTAACAGTCTGGTATTACGCTTAAATTTATACAGTCTAGTTACCATAGTGAAGATCACATCCAAACAAATACCATGAATAAATTTTATAAAAAAAAAAAAAGAAAAGTCAAAGAGAGGCAATCTTACGGCGGTTGGCAAGTGACAGAGGCCGAGCTACCAGATCAGGACCAATAATATTGCTAATTCTTCTTTGGATCTTGTCAAAGAGCTCCAGATAAATAGCAGGAACACCGGACCCTATATGACAGCAATATTCTAAGCATAGACAAATGGTAGACATAGATTTCCGGAGAGAAAAAATGTCTCGCCCGACACAGTGAACCGATTTTCTTAACAACTGACCTAGCAATGGATTCAATATAGTCTTTACACTTCATGTCAGCTGAGAACGTTGGCCCGAGAAGACGCAACAACATTTTCCTGGAGGATAGCATCAGCCATGCTGATGGAAGACAGAGAGATGATTAATGGAGAGAAGTTTAGTTTTGGAGGCGTTAAAACTGACAAGCCATCTTTTGCCCCAGTTAACAACGGTTTTAAGGTCGTTTTAGATATAAGCTGCCATTTTGATCTTGTTGGAGCAGGAGTTAATAGTTGTGTCGTCAACGTAGACCGCCAAGTTGAGAGCCGATATCATTGGGAAGGTCGTGAAGATTAAAAACAGCGTAGGACGAAGGATGAAGCCCTGGGAGTTACCAGCGTTAGTACAAAAGGATGTAGATCAGTGGCCGTTCAGGACAAATTTCATTTCATGATTAGATAGGAACGACTGTATCAGTTCAAAAATGTTTCCGGGGATACCGTAACTTTTCAGCTTGTGGAGAAAACCTGACTTACCAGACCATGTCAAAGGCCTTCGAGATGTCCAACGTTATAGCCCAGGCTTCATCGTTTTTATCTAGAGCATGATAGACTCTTTCCGCAATTATCGTTATTACATCTGCAGTTGACCTGGAAAAAAACAAAAACCGTATTGCTTGTTTGAGAAAAGGCCCTATGATGAGAGATGATGAACCAATTCAGCATTGATGAGGGCCTCTAGGAGTTTCCCCAAAAGAGATAGAAAGCTAATAGGTCAGTAATTGCCTGGGTCGGACGGTTCACCAGAAATCTTAAATACTCGAACAACAGACGATGACTTCCAACAGACAGGAAAGCATATATTAACATACAGAAAATCTCTCCTAAACTCAGGACAGAATTAAGTTACTGCTTGGCCTGTAGCTTACATTATAATGTTGCCCTAATTTCAAAAAAACATCAATAATTATTAATTCGTAAATTATTTGGAAACAAAATGACCCTTTTCCTATACGCCATGTTCTTTCAAGACATGGGCTATCAGAGCTCTCCAAAATTTAACGTCCTTTGAAGCTCTTACTAAACTTGGTCTTTTTGTTACCTCCCCCCCTCATCGATGTTCTGTCAGTCACATACACAAACTTCACTGTCTTCTTCCATGCCCCGTATCCCGTCAGAATATGGGCGATCATGACAACTTTCTTTAAAAAGCTCTTGGTAATTTTTTTTCTTTTCGCTATCTCTCCTAATCTCTGTTCTTCCAGCCAATTACACACGTTTGTTAGGTAAATTGCTCTCTGATTTCCTCTCTCCAGCTTGCCTTCAATATGTCCTGTGAGTGTCAAATTTTCTAAGCCCTCTTTCCTCATTATGTACTCGCTAAAATTTCAACTAACGCTTTCTGATGTTAAGTATAAGAGTCCTTTTTGTTTCCATTTTCTTTAAAACTTTCTGGTGGTTCACATGTTCAGTCCATGATATTCTCAGTATCCTTCTGTAGAACCACATTTCTGTTCTGTTCTACTTCATCTATGATGAAATTGTCCGGCATTCACTGGCATATAAGAGAACTGATAACAGGTTATTATTCTTTTTTTCTAAAGGAGTGAAATCCGACTGTGGTCTATATGAAGAAAACATCACGTGGAAGCAAGCTGCAGGCGATCCGAAAAGAAGATTGGTAAACTGTTTTGAAAAGAGTCTCTAGGATAAGTGGGTAACGCCCTAAGCGGGATATTTGGAACTGGGCTAAGACCGCCTTGCCCGAAGTAGGATATTTTTTCGTTAATTATAAATTAAACTACGTAATGTACTGAAAATAAGTATTATTTTTTACTTAAAAAAAAATGATATACCTCTTCAAGAGTTAGGCGATACTGACCCTTCATGGAATCCATTTCTTTGTCATCTGGGAATTTTCACGACTTCTTTGGTATAGTAATTTTCTAGGCGTAGCTTAGATGTGGCACAAGACCAAAAGTATAAGGCACCCAGCGAGAATCGAACTCACTACTCAGTACTCAGTCGTAATTGTTTAAGCTTGCTAACCATTACACCACGTCGAGGCGCCCTCGACTTCTTTGGAATGATAGTGGAACGGTTTCTCGTTTTCCATGGTTTGGATTTCGGAGTTTTCAGCCTGGTTGGCACCTTCCCCGAGGCTTACAGAGCCTAGTCTGTCCTGCTATTTAACCCATAGTTAGGGGGTCAATGATAAAAATTTATGCCATTCCTACGGGTCTTTGTGTGAAAGTGAGTGCATCAGCCTCGACCCCGGATTTGAACTTTGTCCGCTGATTCCATTTTCTTCGTTGATATCCGTTGGCACAAGTTCTTCAATTTTATTCCTGTTTTATTTATTTATTCTTGGGTCATATGGCTCCGGCTGTTTTCACCTTCGTTCACCGTTCCGTAAGTAAGCAGAATAATCTAAGCTCCTCCTTCCGTCTGCCAATGGTAGCGACGCGCATGCGCGTACACACTCACGTGTCAGCCAATTAAGTATAATTAACGGCATGTTTCTCCCGTGTTTAGCAGAAGTCGTCACCAGGCAGGCAGGCGAAGTGACACGACCAATGAGACGGGCGCTCAGTACGCATGCGCACACCGATGCGCCTACAGATGTGCGGACGCAGCTTTCCACTTTTGTCGCAAACAAACACGACTTTCGTTCAAATACAGGAACGAACATTACAGCTGCAAGTTGTGTCGAGAGATCCACTCTTGCTTAGCATTGCATATGTACTTCAGAAAATAAAGCGATGGGAGTGGGATGAGGAATGGAATAGGAAATTAAGGGCAAAAAAAAAAGCAATAATAATAATAAGAAGAAGAAGAAAAGAGAAAAGTCGAACGAAAATATGTGACTCTAAATGCAGACGACAACACCTGCTCTTAATCGGGATATAATCACGTGATCTAGAAGTGTCTCGGAAAAGTTGACGATCACAACGTCGCGTCCCTGTCTTTTTTTCTCCCATACACAACACCCTTCCTGACTATTCTCATCAACCCTTCTCTTTATCTCTTTCTCTCTCATAACCCCCCCTACTAATTTTTCCTCTTCACCGACTACCATTTTCGACAAAATTTTCATTTCACCCAGCACCCCGTCACAAATAATAAAATTCAATTAGTTTCTAAATATTTTCGTTTTATTCTAGATTATTTTCATTTAAATTTCAATATAGAAAAGATTTCAAATTTTAATAATGAAAAGAATTTAATTGCAGATAAGTATAGAGAAAGAAAACGACGGGAAAAACAAGTTTTTAAAAGAAAGCAAGATTATTATTATTATTGTGATTGATTTGTTTTTTGCGGCTTATCAACACTTTCTGAAATATTTAAATCCGAAACATATTTTAGACCGTTAGGACAATGCTTTTTCTATTTATTTATTATTTTTTTCTTTTTTGGTTGAGTGAATGCTGAATATTTTTTAGAATAAAACTTACACTCAAATACCTTTTCAATGTGTATTTGCGCCTAACTAACGAACACAACTGAAATTCGACCTCAACGCTCGGATTTCTCATTCCGGAACCTCTATCTGGTACATCACCTAAAAAGTAAAACGAGATCAAATGACGGACTATCAGTTGCCAGAAAAGAGAAATATATATATATATATATATATATATATATATATATATATATATATATATATATATAGAGAGAGAGAGAGAGAGAGAGAGTCATCTACAGACAGACTGTTTCGCTGTTTCGTTCCTCAGAGTCGATAGACATCCAATCGCTCCAAGCTAGAACTGAAACCCGACCGATTTGGCATCAGTCGGATGCCAAATCAGATTCTAACCCCTAGGCTATCGACGCCCTGCAGAGAGAAAGATGAATTTTTACGTATTTATTTTTTCATAAACGCGCCAGTGACCTAGAGAACTCAACCCAATTTGGAGAGTCTTGCATTATCAGCAATAATAGTGACTGTTTACAAATTCGTGCTTGTCTCCTATATATATATATATATATATATATATATATATATATATATATATATATATATATATATTCCAAGAGAATAGAATCCTGGTAGAGCTCAATGTCAAGTCAGAGCAAGAATATAATATAAAAAGGCTCAAACACTAATATTCCATGGTTATAATTTATTACATTTGAATCGTAATCACGATCCAATTCATATGACCTACAAATTCAAAAAGAATTTTCCAATTTCTTTTTGAATTTGTAGGTCTGATGAATTGGATCGTGATTATTATTCAAATGTAATAAATCATAACCATGGAATATTAGTGTTTGAGCTTTTTTTATATATATATATATATATATATATATATATATATATATATATATATATATATATATATATGCAGTTACAAAAGAGAGAATATATGCTTACAACAGGAATTGTAAAACAGAAATTTGAAGATACTTTGGAACAGCGAAAGGTACATTTCAGAAACTGATCATAAAAATAAAAGACATTTGAAAAACTCCTTAAAATAATCAGGGACACCCGGAATAACCTGGGAACAACGGATAGAATATAAACTGATCAAATACACATAAATAGAAAGGGGTTTATGACAAAGTTTTTTCTTCCCGTCGGCTTTATTCAAATTATACAGCGAGGCGATTCTAAGAGGACTAGAACTCCTACCAGGATTTATAATTGGCGGAAATAACCTTAACAAAGCAGATGACATTGTATTGATAGTAAACACAGAAAGAAAACTACTGAAAACCCCACACAATGCTTTTGCTTTACCAATGATGTTCACCATCTTCGAGAGCCACTCAATGTAGAGAGTTATAAAATTGATTCTTTTTTCTAGCGCTTATCAACTCTTTGCGAGTTATTTAAAGCCAAAAAATATTTTCATATTGCAAGAATTATATTTTGGAGCTAATAATGGTTTAGTGATACAAGTCTTACAAATTAACCCATAGCTGGGGGGGGGAGTTGGATTCATACGTTTCTCAACGAACCCAACCAGAATTAGAACTCGGCCCTCTGATTAAACTCCCGAGCCATTATTTATTACACCACCCACACATTCAAGCTGACCTGTTATTCCCAAGTGGTCACACATCTAAGTACTGATAAGGCTCGGCGTTGCTTAACTTCGGTGATCGTACGTAACCATGATGTGACCGTAAACCTAGAGTAAGTAGCACAGTTTATGGGGATATGTTGGCAAGATAATCGTTAACCCTAGACTTGAACAGGTAAAGAATGTCGTGATCGGGGATGCATCCTCTTGGGAGTAGGTTGCACAAAGCAGCAGTTCGTGGGGAGATGCTGCTCGAATGGAACTTACATCTCACCAATGGAATATGAAGGGAATGAGGGTTGTTCGCTACAATGGGCGTGGCATGTCGGATCTTAGCTGTGAAGGTTAGAACTGGTGAAACTAAGGAGTGTATTTCGTCTGAACACTTTCCATAGAACAGCGAGAGGTTTGCGATGTTCCGACTGTGAGAAAAGTGGTGGTAGGGTGGAAAGTCGGAAGAAATATTATAAGTTGATTAGGAAAAAGAACAGTCCAAGACACGAGCTACGAATTGAAATGGTCAAAATCAAGTAAGCATAGATATTTAAACGTCTGGAAAGTGTCGATGGATTGTTTTTTTTTTATTATTTCCCAACCCCAAGCAAGGTAATAAAGTCACTAAGAGGCAAGGGGTTACTGAGGGTTTGAAAAAAAATTATTAAGGAGAGAGAACAATAAGAGAACGAGAATTAAAAAGACAGTAGATAACGATTGAGATTGCATTTAAATTTTTGAAGAACAAAGCTAACTGGGAAGAAAGAAGCCGGAAGAGAGTTCCACAAACGAAAAGAGCGATGGAAGAAACGGTTAGCATAGAACTTACGGTTACATCTAGCCATTTCAACTGTAAAATGATGAGATCTTGCCGCTAATCTTAAATTCATAACGTCAAAGTACAAAGAGGAAAGTTTGTCAGAACAATTACCATGGACGTATTTCTAGAAAAGGCAAAGGGAAGCCGCGTTACGGCCGAGATGCCTGGTGAGGACCAATAACATTGCAGATTCTTCTTTGGATTTGGTTCGAAAAGTGTTTGCAACATGTTGATTGTCAATTGCAGATGGACGTCCTCTACCACCTTGATTTTCAAGACTCGTATCCCCACTGCGGAACTTCAGAAACTAGCATCAAACTGTCCAACACAAGTGGATCCTCCCCTACCCATGCACTGCTAATATTGGTATTTATTTGAGCAATCTTATGAGCAAATTTGAACTCATAAAAAAAGTAAACACATCTCTTTTTTTCATGTTCAAGTTGTGGGGTATATGATTTTTTAAGTTAGATTATGACAGAGACAGAATTAACAAAAAGGGCTCTTATATCATTAGGAATGAGTAATTTATCTTTAGTGCGACTATTCTAGTAATATATTAGAACGCAATTAAAATGTTTATTCAAAGTCGGCCATTATTTTCCGGATAACCTAATAAATATTTTACAAAGATACGTAGTCACAATATTTTTTTTAATTAAGTTGATAAGAGTTACGAAAAATACAAGTTCAGGCAATATAATCAATTCATATCTTGATTTTCTTTTCTTGAAAATTCACTTATTTATTAGTTTTTCTACGAACTAAATATTTCCATGTGTCAGACCTTTGCTGCTTCATTATCGTCTGCCAAGGAGAAGGAAACGCCTGCAATAAACCTACAACATGTAGAAGTTGCTGCAAGCGTCACACTGGTTTGTCTATGACACATAAACGTCAGATTTAAAAGGTAGATAAGTTAAATTCCACCTTCTAAAACAACCCTATCACAGGCCTGAAGACTATTCCAGGCGCAGGATGGCTTGTAAAATTGTGAATAAAATTTTCGTGTGCTAATAATGATATAATTTTCGTTTTCTGAGCCGCCACTTGTTATATGATGATGATATACATCCGATTGATTCTACAGAAAAAATATATATCACGTCGAGAATTCTTATCGGATTCTCCTGACTCGACTCTTCCAACCATTTCTGTCAGACATCGCCGTCGGCATGTCCTTCAGATGTCATCCAGAGTCATCTAAAAGTTGGTCAATGTTCTCCTGACTGGTTCCTTCCAACCATCTCTGTCAGATATCACCGTCGGCAAGTCCTTCAGATGGCATCTAGAGCTATCTACAATTTGGTCAATGTTCTCCTGATTCGTTCCTTCCAACCATCACTGTCAGACATCACTCTCGAGGGTTCCTCCAGATGGCGTCCAGAGTCATCTACAAGTTGGTCAATGTAGGTGAGATGAGGTCTTCCAACCGATCTTTTGCTGCGCAGTGACTTCCAAAGGAGGGTGTCACTTACAAATCCTTACTTACTTTTCCAGGAGTGACCAGCTAGTCGAAGCCTTTTCTCTCTCAGCGAAACTGAGATAAGAGGAAGGTGTCCATACAGGCGTTTCTTTGTTGGGTGTTTCTTCCAGCTGATGTCCATTGCAACTCTTAACATCCTTGTGTATGTTATGTCAAGTGATGCTTCTAGTGTTTCGTCAGTGTCCATGTTGTTGAACCATAGAGCAAAAAATATTCCACCGTAGTCTTAAAGAAGTTTCCTCTTAAGATTGTCAGAGAGGAAGGACTTCCAGATGGGGCACAGACATTCAAGAACACCGCAGGTCTTGCCTTTGTGAATTTTAGCAAAAATAAACTCTGCTTATTTGAATTATAACCACTGTTTTTTTCCCTATGTGTCACTCACAACGACTTTCTTTTGACTTTTCAAATTAACCACCCCTGATGTCATTCGGCTGTCAACTATTTGTCTATTCGCTCAGCCAAACAGAAATAGAAGGAGTTGGCATAAGAGCACAGCACTGAGACAAAACCTGTAAACGTTAACATCTCCAACTATCTGAGAGTAATAGCTTTGAGTGTTATACATTTTTTCGAATAAGGGTATTTTTCTTCTTCTTCTTCTTCTTCTTCTTATTATTCTTATTTCTTATTATTATTATTATTTTTTGATTTAAGTTCTATACACATGTCCTTCCGGGTCCCAGCCAGAGACCTAAGGCTAGAAATGGCATCATGACATTTTCCATTGAACATTTTTATTACAAAAATAACAAAAAGACACATTTTATATAGATAGAACTCTTCATAATGTGCGTGCTGTACTTGCGAGTAAAATATTTTGTATTTCTTTAAGGTATGGGCTATCAGGGATACCTTCGGTGAGTCCATAATAATCTGAGGGCTCCAACTACAACTGGAATTGCTAATTATTATTATTATTATTATTATTATTATTATTATTTCATTTCATTTCTATTGTATGGACATTTTCTTCAGGGTCCCAACCAGAGACCTAAGGTCAGAAATAAACTTCAGGACATTATCATTTTTGTAAAAATATAAAAGAAAAGAAAAAAACCTAAGAACACACACATTTTACATGCATAAAGCCCTTCATGGGAACTTCAACAAGGTGTAATGGTTAGCAAGCTTCTCTCGGTAGATTAGTTACGACTGGATAGTGAGTTCGATCCTCACTGATTTCTCATACTTTCAAACTTGGGCCACGTGTAAGCTAGGCTTAGAAATTTACGATAAAGCTGTTCATAACACGAGAGCTGTAATTGTGTGAACATTTTTTGTATTTCTTTAAGACATGGGCTACAAGAGCTTCTATCAGAAGCTTTTCCAATCAAATCCATAGCCTCAACCACAATAGCAATTACAAATGTCTTCATGTGCCACTTGAAAATCCTGGTATCTTGATATTTTTTATTCTTTTTTTGAAGATTTTCAAAGATACATTACAGTCTGTAGGTACAATAAGTAAACACATTCTGTTTTTGAGATCTTTGATCAAGATGTCTGAACGAATAGCTTTGATTATTTTGTCTGTGTGTATTGTAAAGTTCAATAAAATTGTTAGAAGTCCTATCTCAGTATCTGTGTATATTTCTGAGATAAGGTATTTTGTACACTATTTACATTATTCGAACCATTGTCCTCATCTTTGTCGCCATATTTATTACAACGTTTCGGCCTTTCAGTATCTGTCTATATTTCTGAGATGAGGTATTATGTACATTATTTACATTATTCTGACTATTGTCCTCATCTTTGTCGCCATATTTATTACAACGTTTCGGCCTTTCAGTATCTGTCTATATTTCTGAGATGAAGTATTATTTACACTATTTACATTATTCGGACTATCGCCATATTTACTACGTTTCCTTTTCATATCTGTGTATATTTTGAGGTATTATGTACATTATTTACATTATTCGGACATATTTATTACAACGTTTCGGCCCTTTCAGTATTCTGTCTATTTACATTATTCGAACCATTGTCCTCATCTTTGTCGCCATATTTATTACAACGTTTCGGCCTTTTATCTGTTTATTTCTGAGATGAAGTATTTTTACATTATTCGGACATTATTGACTATCATCTCTTTGCCGCCATATTTATTACAACGTTTCGGCCTTTCAGTATCTGTCTATATTTCTGAGATGAAGTATTATTTACACAATTTACATTATTCGGACTATTGTCCTCATCTTTGTCGCCATATTTACTACGTTTCGGCTTTTCAGTATCTGTGTATATTTCTGAGATGAGGTATTATGTACATTATTTACATTATTCGGACTATTATCCTCATCTTTGTTGCCATATTTCTTGCAACGTTTCGGCCCTTCAGTATCTGTCTATATTTATGAGATGAGGTATTATGTAAATTATTTACATTATTCGGACTATTGTCCTCATCTTTGTCGGCATATTTATTACAACGTTTCGGCCTTTCCTAACTCCTCAAGGACACATGGCACAGTGGATAAAGGCGTTACTCAGATCCAATGACAGGACCCAAACAGTGTGAGTTCAATACCCGGTTAAGGCAGTGGAGAACTTTCAGAGGGAAATTAACAGGAGATAACTGATAACTGACATCCATTAAACATGGCACATGGAACTAGAACAGTCTACCCCAGTGAGCGAAATAAAGGGTTCAGTTCGACATTCCAACCACCTGAAGAAGGCCAGAGCGTATAACGGCCGAAACGTTGTAATAATTATGGCGATAAAGATGAGGAAAATAGTCCGAATAATGTAAATAAAGTCCTTTCTCTGTAACCGGGTCTGGGCGGTCTTCATGGCAGTTTCTTGCTGTTTCCTTCTTGTAAAAGTTGAAGATTTTCCAGTGCAGATATTGACCCACTCTGTCATGACGTATTTTATATTCAGTGAATGCTAATACATGATGATCAGTTTTTATTATTAATTTTTTTTCTTTGAGTTTAGTTGTATATACATTTACTTTCAGGTCTCATCCAGAGGACTTAAAATAAAAAATGGTTTTATAACATTTCCCACTAAACATTTTTTGTAAAAAAAAAAAAGAAAGAAAAAAAACCTAAGATCACATCCATCTTACAGAGATAAAGCTGTTCATAAGCTATGTGCTCTACTTGAGAATAAAATTCTTTGTATTTCCTTAAGGCATGGGTCACCAGAAATCCCTTCAATGAATCTATCGGTCTTTTTTTCAATCAAACCGAGGGCTCCAACTACAACTGGAATTATTCATGTCCTTGTGCCACTTTTGGGATTTCCACTTCAAGAACCTTGTATTTTGATAGTTTTTTCAAGATAGTCTGCAGGGACTGCCATATAAGAATGCACATTCTGTTCTTGTGGTCTTTGCTCATAATGTCTAGGTGATTAACTTTGTTCTCTCTGTGGGTAAAGTCCCATAAAATTGTTACACGTCCTATATCTGAAACCTGATCTGGGTGGTGTTCATACTAGTTCTTGCAGTTTACTTTCCCATAAAAGCGGCATATTTTCCATTGCTGATATTGGCCTACTCTATCATGCTGAGTTTTATATCCAATGGGTGCTGAACACTTTGCAACCTGATACAAGATGTTCAATTGTTTATGGATATTTATCACAGAATCTGCATTTCAGGTCGACAAAAATTTTCAGTATATGCTTGGTAATTTCTATTTCTCAAGTATTGGTCCTCTACAGCAAGAATAAAACCTTTGGTTTCAGCCTTTAACCCTGCACTACGTAACCGCTGTACCTCTTTTCATCGTTCCCAGTGTGTATCTTTTTTTTAAATCGTACCCTGTCAATAGCTTTCTTCATTGCGTCCCCTCTCTACTTTCTTCAATATACTCTCTCTGTGCCGTTTTTCATGTTTCCCAGTATGTACATTTCTTCATTGTACCCTGCCTGTTCCTCTCTTCATCGTCAACTAATGTGTACCTTTTCTTAATGTACCTTTTTCAGTCTGTACCTCTTTTTTTTTCATTGTACCTTTTCTCTTTGTGACTTCAATTTTCTTCATTGTACCCGTTATTGTAATCCTTTTCTGTCTGTACCTTTTTCATATTCTTTGTACCTCTCTTTTGTACCTTTTGAACCTTCATCGTACCTTCATCTGTACCTTTCTTCCTTGTACCTAATCTATATCTCTATTCATCCTCCCCAGTCTGTACCTTTCTTCATTGTGTTCTCTTTGTACTTCTCTTCATTGTACACCGTTCTGTACCTTTTCTCATATTCACTAGTTTGTACCTTTCTTCATCGTACCCTCTCTGTACCTTTCTTCGTTGTACCTGGTCTGTATCTCGCTTCATACTCCCTGGTCTGTACTTTTCTTTATCGTACCTAGTCTGTACCTTCATTGTGTCCTCTATGTACCTCTCTTCATTGTACATTGTACCTTTCCTCATATTCACCTGTCTGCACCTTTCTTTATTTTACCCTGCCTATACCTATCTTCATCGTTACCAGTCTGTACCAGTATTTGTCATACCCTGTTTTTACCTTTCTTTATCGTACCCTGTGTGTATCTATCTTCAATGTTCCCAGTCTATACCTTTCTTCATCGTACCTTGTCTGTATCTATCTTCAACACCTTCCAGTCTGTACCTTCCTTCATCGTACCCTGTCTGTAGCTCTTTTCATCCTTCCCGGTCGTTCCCTCTATCTTTCTTTATCCTACCTGCTTATACCTCTCTTGATCTTAGTCTGTACCTTTTTTCATTGTACCCTGTTTGTACCTCTTTTCATACTCTGTACCTTTCTTTATCGTACCCTGTAGCTTTCTCAATCGTTGCTCTGTTTGGGCCTTTCTTTTTAGTACCTTTTCTGTATCTTCCTTCGTTGTAACCACTCTGTAACTTCCTTGGTTTTATTTATTTTATCTTATTTTTTTATTACTCTAAGTAAAGCAGTAATTTTAAGCCGCCATATTTTATTCATTTTATTTTCATTCTTTTAGCGTTCTATTTTCATTTGCTGGCGTTGCTAAATCTCTGAGAAGGATTTTTTTTATAGTCTATTTGCAATATTTAATCACATTGTCTTGTTTATATAATTTCCTTATTATTTATTTTGGAATAATTTTTGCATTATTATTGCTATTATTTATTGGTTTAAAATTAAATATTCCTATTTAGTTTCTTTTATTTCTCTTCGATTATTATTTGTTGTTGCTTAATTGTTTGTTTGTTATTAAATATCATTTATTATTACTAACTTTAATACTTTCATTGTTATTGTGTTTTTTTTTTATTTCGTTGGCTTAGTGAACCTCATACATCTTCCACCGTTTTAACCCGAAGCAAATTGAACTCCGCTCGACGCAACTCTTTCTCTTTTGCTTCCCGCCAAGAGACATTTATGAACTGAAACTAGTTGCCTCCCCTTCTGGCTAGCTAATCAACCAACCAGTCGACCAGTTAAGCGTCCTACCGGGTTGGCCATTAAGATATTTCACGCTTGCATTGGTCAATTCTTAAGTCAAACATCAGCTTGGCTCATGTGTCGGCCGGAAGCGATGGTCGACATGCAGCCATTCCCTCTTCCTACGTAACTATTCCTTCTTTTCTTTCATTTGATTTCTTATTCATAGAATTCGTTGATATCCTTCTTTTCCTTCTTTTCCCACCCCTTACTCATTTGTTATTTTTTTATTTTTTATTTTTCCTCTAATGCAGACAGACTCTCGTCCGCCATTTTTGTATTGTTTTCTTTATCATTCTCGGTTTAATTTTATATCGATTTTGTGGAAATTACCGTCATTTCCTTTGGGTTTTGTTTATAATTTTGTTAGCCCAGTTTTTTTTTTTTAAATAATCACAGTTCCCTCTCAGAATCTTCTTTTGCATTTCGATACCCATTTTAAAATGCGTGGTCAGGTGACTTTTCTACTGGCATTAAAATAAATAATTTTAATTCTGTTCGTATGGGTTTATCTATCGGTTTCATTCTTTTCCTTATTAGAGTAACATAATCCGTTTTCTTATTAGATTTGTAAGAAACTGACGAGAAGACATTGCAGGTCGGAGACATTAAAATCAAGCAGGTACGGAAGTTTAAATATCTAGGAAATGTTTTGACGGAGGACGGTAAATACGACACTGAGACCCGTAAACGTACTGGGATGGCCACGGACTCATTCCAAAAGCTGGGCAGAGTATTGCGAGACAGGAGAGGATTTCGTCGGTAACAAAAAAAAAGAGTACTCAGATGATACAGGACATCTGCCTCCCTTTACGGCAGCGAATATTGGACGGTCTCCTCACAGATGAAGAAGAGAATTGAGACAACGAAGGTATATTTCTACAGAAGCATGCTAAGGATACTATGAACTAAGCATGTGAGGAACGACGAGGTTTTGAAGAGAATGCTAACACGGAGGAAGCTTATACTTAACACCAGGAAGAGGCAGATAAAATTTCTGGGACACTTAACGAGAAAGGGGGGCTTGGAGAATCTGATACTCACATGTCGAGTAGAGGGAAAGAGAGACAAGGGAAAGCAACGCATGACATATCTGTCGGGCTTTAGCAACTAGATGACAGAACGTGGTCTGGGGAGACGGCAGAGAGATGAAACTTATTGAGAGCTACAAGGGATAGAGAGAAAGTGGAGAGCCATGATCGCCTTCGTCCTGAAGGGACACGGCACATAAAAAGAAAGAAGAAACCAGTGTAATCATGCCGTCAAAAATAAATTAGAAAGTTTTAATATAGAGATGCAATGGAAAAAGTTCGAATTTAAATAAAGCTAAAACTAAAACATCACAACTGAAATCGAGGCCAAAAGACAGTTTCCTTTATATTTTCAGACGTTCAATGCTGCTATGATTTATTGATTACACTTGACATTATATAAATCATTTTTTGGTCATGTGTAACAGTGACTTGAAATGTAATCACCTATCAAAAGCAAAAAATTAGAAACAGAACGATAATGACGACAAAGGTATCTGTGTGCCTCCCAAGACAGGCTTGAACAAATAAGGCTGCAGTCTAAGAAACATAGTAGTAAGGGCACGGATTATTCAAACGGTTCATTTTACTCGAGGACTAATCTTATCAGAATAAAGATAAATATTTTATTTGTATTGATGATTACAATGACTATAGGATCAGATTAGAATAAATGTATTATTGAGTATTTATGTTTTTTTTTTTATAAATGCTTATTAAATACGCTTACTAAATTTTTAGAATTAAGAACTGCATATAGATAAATGTTAATATCCTGACATAATTTATAACTGAAAAGCTAAATATTCGGTATTTTTTCATCATCATCATCATCATCATCCACTTGACTTTTGTGATCGTAGGCGGATCCGAATTCAGAAGCCACACTAACTCTTTTCCACAAAGGCAGCCATCAGCAATTCTGGTATAGTCATACCTGTTCATTGTTTGACATTGTCCAACCAGTTTTTGCATTGGAATCCTCTCCTATCTCCACCTTCAATGGTGCCTTGCATGACGGTCTTTCACATGCTGTCGTGCCTTGTAATGTGTTCAAACCACGCAGTTTTTCTCCGTTTGACAGTGGCGAGAAGAAGTTCCTGGTGTCCCACAAAACTATCATCCCTTTTCCGAACAAACAGCATTGGTTTTTGTTCCCAATAGAAAACGCCAAGGAGTTTTCTCATGCATTTGTTCTCAAATACTTGGATCTCTCTGTATTTGCGAACAGTGTCCACGTTTCACATCCATATAGGAGAATGGAGACTACCAGTGATTTGTAGGTCTCGACTTTGTTTGAAAAATGATTTTACTCCTGCATATTCTTGTCAATTTGACCATGGTTGCCATGGCTGCGGCAATCCGTGCCCGGATTTACGAGTTATTGATGCCATCTTGGATCTCTCTCTCTCTCTCCGTATCTGCCAATAGTGTTCACGTTTCACATCCATATAAGAGAATGGAGATTACCAGCGATTTGTATATCTGGACTTTGATTGAAAGCTGATTTTTCACCTCTATATTCTTGTCAATTTGGTCATCGCTGCCATCGTTGCAGGTACCATCTTTAGACAAGATTGCTTTTTATATATACACATATAAACAGCACTAGAAAACGTATTTTGCAAATGTCACTGGAAAAAAAAGAAAAAATTACGGGTAATTCACTTAATTAAATGAATAAATATAGAAAGTATTTTTTTATTATATTGATATTATTCTTATTTATTCAAACAAATATCAAATTAAGAGATCGTCATATTTGAGTTTTCTATCGTAAAAAAGGATGGGAAACAAATTAAGTAAATATTTAAAATTCTCTTAATATATAAAGCAATTTTTTTGCGGTCTGAGGTTTGCGTCTAGCATCAAACAGCCTGTCGCCTCTGAGTGTTTACTCAATGTTCACTTTCATATATATATATATATATATATATATATATATATATATATATAACGTATTCATATATATAACGTCAACAGACAGACTGTTTCGCTGTTTCACAGCTCATCAGTGGCTAGACATCCAGTTGCCTCTGGCTAGATCGAAACCCGACTGACTTGATGTCAGTCGGAATTCTATATATATATATATATATATATATATATATATATATATATATATATATATATATATATATATATATATATATATATATATATATATGGCCTAACACTAATATTCCATGGTTATAATTTATTACATTGGAACCGTAATCACGATCCAATTCATCAGACCTAAAATGACCTAAATGATGAAAATATAGTTTTACGGTATGCTATTTATGGATAAAAGAGATCAATATCAGAGATGGAGTATATGTAAATATAAAACTAGACACTGACGTCAACACAAAGCGGCTTGAAGCCGCTTGAGTTGATCCCATTGTCAACTTTTATATTTACACTCACACACGCACACACACACATTGATATAATATATATATTATAAATTAATTGATTTAAAATATTTTTTTTCGCTACACAGTTCCAACCATGTTTCAAAAATAGAAGCTAAAAACCCTGAATTTAATTTTGCAATTAAATTAAAAGATTATTAGTTCCATTTCATCTTCCTCGAATTTAATAATATATATTTAATATATATATATATATATATATATATATATATATATATATATATAATTATTTATTTAAAAATATGATTCCAACTCGCGACATAAGAGGTCTCATGTTTCAAAACAAGAAAAAATCTTCAATATAATTATTTGAATTAAATTGAGTTTAAAAGTAAGCTCTGTTCCATCTTCAAGCGAAATTTTTTGGAATAAAAATTCAAAAAATTTCGCTTGAAGATGGAACACATGAATTATTTTAACTCAATTTAATTCAAATATTAAATAAATAATTATATTTATGCTCTACTTTTGTA